TATTAGAAACAATAAGCTACTAGTAACAAGTGCATCGCTGCTAGGAGCAAGGGCCTTACTAGTAGTAACAAGAAGCTATTAGAAACAATAAGCATATATATGTCCTTTTGGATTGGACCGGTCTTCATCCCCTCGACCTCCACACAGGCCGAAGCTGTGAAACGGGGCACCCCACTCCGACGCCGCGGACGGTGTCTGGAAGCGCTTCCGCGCCCTGGGCTTTTCGGTCGTGGAGTCATGGGGAGGAACGTGACCCGCATGGAGGCTGAAACTGTTGACGGTTGGTTCATTGGGCTCAACGAAGCACCCCTTGGGGTGATTTGGATCGGTCCGCGCGGACGGTGCCTGGATTCGTGCTGGGATTCGAACTGAGTCATACTGGACAGACCGACAGACCGACAGACCGACATGACCAAGCTTCTACACTTGTTCCACTTGAAACGTGCTGGGTCATCGTGAGTCGTCCTGAGCCACTGAACGCCATGTCTGCTCGCATCCAAACTCAACAGAAGCCTGCCAGACCAAGGCACTTCCAAAGCAGCCGTGCCCGCTCGTGCGGGTCAGGCAACCTGCGCCCATGACCAGGTCCCAGTGGCATTTGGGGCAACATCTGTTACGAGGTTGGGGTGAGAGTGGTGGATATGGAAGGTGTTGGCAAACCAAAAACGAAAACTCGACTTCCCTGATCATCCGCATTCCCAAATTCAGTCATGTTTGACAAACGAGATGAGGCATCATGGCCTCTAAACTCCAGAAAGCTTCATGTAGTCACTCATGACTTGGCGTTCGCGCCCTAATACCCATCCACAATGAGACCCCAACAAGCCCGGCGCCAAGAAAGCCAAGACAAACGACCAAAACCAACATGCCAACTAATTGAAAATCATGTAAAGTAATTAACATGACCAACCCATTATAAGACCTGGGCTTGGAAGAGCAACGCCTTGACGCATCCATCATCTGAGCTTCAGACATCATCTGATCTGCCAACCGATGCCGCACGCGCATCTCCTGCACCCCCCCCGCGTCTCGCGACCGATCGCCGTCGCGTCCGACGGTTCGTGCGGCTGGACCAGTCGCGGCGCTCGGTCCCTCGGTCCCCGTCGCTGGACATCACGCCCATGCCCAGGTGTGCGGCCAAGACGTCCGTTCGCAGGTCCTGCGAGTCGGTTCGGTTCGGACGACGGGTGAGTCGGGCGGGTGGGGCGGTGGGTGGTGAGGCGAAAGACCTTCGAAGCAAGTGGTTGCGTCAGAAGACGGCGGCCGTTTTGTGGGGGTTCAGATTAGATGGAGGCTGCGACCGTCTCTATGTTTACCGCCCACCATACTGCCACAGTGGGTCTTTCTAGACTGCAATACTGAGAAGAACTATGCTGCAAATGCCCACAATGTCCACCACAAGTCAGGTCCAAGGAATCATCTGAAGCACTCATTTTATGGTCTCCTGACAAGACCTAACCACTTGAAAGAAAAAACACATATATAAATATTCAATTCTTATACAGTAGGTCTTCTCTTGCCTTCGTGTGTATTGGAGGCACATGACAACCTGGCCCAGTGAGGGTGAGCTCAGGAGTCTGTCCCGCTCTTTAGAGCCTGAAGCCTCTGATCAGCCTGCTGTACCAGCCAGCGCGGAAGACTGAAGAAGTCCACTCCTCTCAACCTCCGAACTCTCCCCGCTCCCGACTCGCAGGTGCTCCCGGTGCCCATGGAACCGGCCTCTGATTCGAACCTGGTGGGACCCTCAGGCACCTGCGGCATTCGACGGATGAGATCTTAGAGCTGGGAATGAAGACTGACGACGTGTCCCAACAGGGGTGCACTTGGTTTCAAAGCTTAGCAGTAGAAACTATGTGTTTGGATGGAACCAGCATGTCGACAAATAGACCCATGTGCAAAGCGAATCAAAGCGAGCAAATCGACTTAACGGGACAAAACTTGGGGGTTACTTTCCGCAGTCGCTCGCAGGATTGAGGCGTCCTCTCCAAACGACAGCGCTTTGCAAAAGCTTTGTTGAACAACCACAGTAGATAGTCACAATATGTCGCTGTCCAGTCGATTGGACCCATCCCCCACAACTGCCCACGCCTGGAGGTATTGCATACCCTGCCCTGTAATCTCCACCGCTTTCTGGTAAAGCTTGGGCATGTTGAAGCGCGCAGCAATCTGCGGACCGGAGCGCACGGTTTGCACAGGGGTTGTCAGGGAGGAGCAGCCTCGAACAGGGACGGCTTGGTTGCCGATCCAAAAGAAAAACAATACTGCTCTCATAGGGCCAGTGCTCAGTGACAACACATGAATGTGTGTGTGTGTGTGTGAAGAGGACAGCCCCTTCAAAAATCTTCAGCAAACTGCATATAGTATGTCATATCATCATATCATATTACATTGTACTAAAGTCATCAAGGCTGTCGTGCTGGCGGATGGTTGGCCAACCCATACGCAGCGGATGAAAAAAGAAAATGGATTCGCTTGAGCTGTTCATCTCAGTTGTCGTTTTTGTTGCCCTCCGTGTGCAACAAACACCGGATCAAAGGTTCGAGGATGTTTCAACATGGATCTCCGTTTTCAAACACATCCCAACATTCGCATCTAGACACAGCTGTGCCTGCCACTTGGAAACAAGTGCGGGGCATCAATCTATTGAATCGCATCCAAGGCATCCAAAAGAAACCATACACAGAAATTAATCGCCAGCTGCTGTCGCTGCTGTGTCGTTGGATTCTTCACCCCACCCGTCCCCAACACACCTAACACCTGTCCTTCTAGCGATGCCCGTGTTACTAGTAGCTTATTGTTTCTAATAACTTCTTGTTACTACTAGAAAGGCACTTGTTACTAGTAGCGATGCCCTTGTTACTAGTAGCATCCTTGCTACTCCGTGTCGTTCTGTCGCACCTCGAGGATCTCATCGGGAGAGAGTTCGATGGCGTCTCGGCCCTTGGGGTCCAAGAGAAAGGCCTCACACCTGGCGCAGGGCCAGCTGCCGCGCGTGGCGCACGTAGACACGCCGTGAGGGAGATGAGTCGATACAAAAAGAAAAGCATCAAAAGGTATTTACGCATCAAAATATCAAATCTAAAGCATCAATAACAATCCATCTACAACAAACTAACCATAAACAAGCATGCTACTATAAGTTATATGCATTAAGTGTGTAAAGTGTAAGCAGTACAAAATCATCAAAATACATACAAATAATATTTGTCGTCTTGGTGCATTGTTTTTTAGAATTATATGGGAACTCGAAGTACCGTTTTACATAAAGCTGAAATGGTAAGAAAATATGGATTACAAACATCAATCTAATTCCAAAGCGGAATATAAATATACTGTAAATTGTTTATATAATTTCAATTTTGAGTGCGAGTCCCATTGTGACTGGGTAACCAGGCGCCATCCTAAAAAATGGCACATGGGGCCGCGGGGCCAGCTAAATAGTGAGATTGATCGCAGACAAGGGAACGCGCCTCGGCGATCGAATTGAAATTTGTATATACAGTAGTGCAGTCTTGAACGTGCTTCTTTGACTGGCTAGCGCCGGAGGGCATTGTCATCAACAAGGGAGATCGCGACATCTTTTGTGGATAATTTGTCCTCCGCTGCTCTCCTTGCTTTCTTCATTGTCTCTAGCTCTCCTTCTTTTTGTTCCACCTTGGTCCTTTCCTTGACCAGGTCAGCTTTGGCTTTCTGCAGCTCTCCTTCTTTTTGTTCCACCTTGGTCCTTTCTTTGACCAGGTCAGCTTTGGCTTTTTGCAGCTCTTCTTCTTTTTGTTCTACCTGTTTCCTTTCATTGACCAGATCAGCTTTAGCTTTCTGCAGCTCTCCTTCTTTTTGTTCCACCTTGGTCCTTTCCTTCACCAGGTCAGCTTTAGCTTTCTGCAGCTCTCCTTCTTTGTGTTCGACCTTTTTTCTTTCATTGACCAGGTCAGCTTTGGCTTTCTGCAGCTCTTCTTCTTTTTGTTCCACCTTTTTTCTTTCCTTGACCAGATCAGCTTCAGCATTCGTCAGCTTTCCGCTAAGATCATTGACCTCATCTGTTCTTTCCTCAAGCTGATGCTCTCGGTCTTCCTTCTCCTTCTTTTCAGTGTCCTCCCTTTCCTGCTTTGCTTGAGCTGTCCTGACCCTTTTGTCCTTCTCCTCCTGTGCAATCCTAGCGAGATATCCACGATACATGCAAGGCACCACCATGGAGAAGGACAAAGCGACCAGGATGGCAGGGAAAGCGATCAACCAGAAGGGCCCAGAGGTTCCAATCATGGGCGCTTCTATCCTCGGTAGATCAGGATGGCGGACGAAGCAAGCAAATCCTTGCTCCAAATCATGGAGCCCCAAGGCGGCCTTTTGCATCGCCTCTAAGCCGGTCTTCAGCTCAATGGTGTTGGCAAGAAAGCTTACGAAACCAATGACAAACTCGGCCAAAGCAGCAATGCCAGTGAACACTTGAGTAGTCAAAGTCAATGACTCCCTGTCCTTCAATTCCGAAAAACCTTGTCCCAGGTCGCAAGCAGCACCCACCACAGCCAAGACAACGTTCAGAACAGCAAAGCGCGATACCCAGTCCACAGCTTCTGCCAGCTTGACGATGGTATCATATCCATCCCCCTGTGAGAAGCAGAAACCATTCTTCACTTGATCCATAAAAACTCGTGCTTCGGATACAGAAGCCACAACGGTCACTTCAAGCACGAAGTCTGCCAAAAAATTCCCTAGCATGCAAAGGATCAAAATGCTTCTGATCTTAGCCACAGCTTCTTCACCTTTGCGCCAAAAATAGAACCCTAGTACAATTGCATATGCCAAACCCACAGCGTCCACCATGAGGTCACCCAACTCTGCCTCATACATGACGGCTGTGGCTTCGAAGATTCTCTTCCACGCATTGCAGGAGCTGCTGCACAGGCTTGAATCTGCTGATGCATAGATCAGCCCTTCACAAAGAGGTGCATCGACATATTCTTCCAAACACAGCTTGCTGTCATTAAAGACTGCGACATGCTTCTCACAAGAGTCGCCAAAAAGTCCTAGAGGACACCACGCACTTGTCGTGCTGGTAGTCATTGTGGTATTGATGGCATCAATCTCGGTAGTGCTCTTGACTTGTGCAGTACTGCAACATTCTTCGGCAGAAAACCCAGGTGGGAGTGGCCGAATCCATTCTTGCACGGGGCAAGACTGCGGCTCTAAGGCATACAGTCGCTCACAGGTTTTTGAAGCTGCAAAGCCCACATAAAGCACCCACATAATGATAGAAAGCAGTCCAAACATGCTCAAACCGGCAGTAATAAACTTGTCCGTCTTCTTCTTCCGACCCTTGCCGCATTCCTTCCAAGCTATATAAAGAAAGAGAAGCGGCGGAAATGTAAAGCCAAAGGCCAGGGCAAGCCAAGAGGAAACCATTCTATCCACATCCTCCTTCGTCTCAACGTCGCACCCCTCCAAAGAGAAGAATACGCAAAAGAGGATGGCCCCAAGGTACGTTGAACTTTCACGGAGCATGGCGCTTCTCGGACGAATCACAAAGTCGCTACGCAAACAGGCGCAGTGACAAGTTGCCTGAGAATCAGCTTGAAACATGTTGATAACATCAAGTACTGCTCATGTGTATGTATATATATGTATATATGTATGTATATATTGTGTGTTATCTTTGTATATCGAACACTCACTAAAACCGGAACTGGAAAATCAAGCCGAAAAGTCACCAGGGACATCCGGTGAGCTGTACTGTTGCGTTTGCCAAAATGCTGCTCCGCAATCTCCAGTCGCGCTTCCCTCGGTTTACAAGCACAAGGCACAGTAGCCAGGCTGCCAAACATGCTCTGTTGAATCGTGGATCATACCAGAATCATGGCAGCCAGACTGGCCACGAATGTGATCCACGCCAAAATCCTCCAGAAGCACCGGTCATAAGTTTGGTTTTGGGAGGAACCTTCATGCGATGTGCGTCATTCGTGTCTGACAACGACACCTCATCGATCCACCAAGTCAAAGGCTTATAACTTATAACTCATTTCCACAGTGCCAACCCACAGGACAAAGATGTGATGGGGTTTCCAATAGATTCAAATTCCATAAGCAGGAATGTTGGCCCCGGCCCCTGAACCAACCACGGCTGTTTAACATGGCTTAACGCTGTCTTATCGATACACTGGCCATGCCGGGAGGGGTTCGAGTCAAATTTCGTGGGCCTCAGGCCTCCCTTTGCCAAAGCAAGAACAAACTCGGCTAGTTGACGCTACAGTAGCTTTGGTGATCAGGAGACAGCATGTGCGTCTTCAACATTCAGGATTCCAGACGCTGTGTGGTACGTGGCAAGGGTCAAGTGGTGGTAACAATCCCAAGAAAGACACGCGGGCAGTGTCTGGATGTTTCGTGCTTAGGTTGCTGCTGGTGGCTTCTTGCTACTAGTAGCAATGCACCTTGTTGCTAGTAGCCTTCTTGTTACTAGTAGTAAGGTGCCTTGTTACTAGTGGCGGTTAGTAGTGTCCTTGCTTAGGGCTAAAGTCCCATCACCGGCTCCTCGCTCCACTCCAGCACTGCCATGAAATTGTCCGGCCGCAAATCTCCTGTAGGGCCTCAGATCTACTCCATCCAACAATGGCCCTGCGTGTGTGTGTGTGTGTGTGTGTGTGTAAGCCACGTCCAAAGTGAACGCGAGAATTTGGATGTTCCTCCGAAAACCATTTGACCAAAGGGAGTTGGTGTCCGCTCACCGTGTCCGTGTCACCACACTTGTCGGTCATCTTCACAGATGGATGGACTGTGTTGATCTGGCTTCCTCCCCTTCACTCAACCAGTTATCGCGAAATCCCAGTCTTGGAGAATCCGTGCTCCGAGCCTTTGAGCCTCTCTGGCTCGGCTCAGCCCCCGTTGAACGCGGTGACCCGGATCTTGCAGTAAAACCCGCCGCCATGGAACCATGGAGTCCTGGCCTTCTACCCCTAGGAACAAGAAGCTACTAGGGGCTCCTGGCCTTGCTACTAGGAGCAAAGGGCATCGCTAATAGGAGCAAGGCTGCTACGAACGGGGCCTGGCCTTCTGCCCCTTGAAGGAAGTTCAGAAAGGCTCTGAAGGAGTCCGCCTGATCGTGCCGCGCGAGAGAGAGAGAGAGCGAACGATCCGAGAACCTATGAGGTCTGTCTGTCCAGTAGAATCTGGGCGAAAGACTTGGTCAAATTGGAGAGTCAGCCCACACAAAAGAAGGGTCGGAAACATGCAAATGAGAATGACCCTGCAAGCATCAGTTGATTCCCCAGTCGCCCTTGGCCACCAAGATAGGCTACAAAAAACAGATCTGCACTTCAACAAAAGACGCTCATCTTTTCTCTCAGCTGAACTGCTCCTCGCCTGACCTGAGCCAGCAACGTGCGAGATGTTTTCCGCGAAATAACGAGGTTTCGTCGCGTGGGGCCCCTACGAGGTGGAGGCGAGGATCGTCAGGATGGTGGTTTGTTCTGGAAACGGTGGTCTGTTTGTCTTGGATCATCTTGGCCTGCTTGTCGCTGGAAGACCTCCAAACGAGACTGGTTTGATATCGCATGATCAGCTGCCACCCACTGGATTTGTCACAACTTCTTCCGTACCTAGTGAAAGCGTTGATGTGGAAACGAACCCGTCAAGACCTAGTACACCATGTATGTAGATGCATCATATACTGCACTATGTGCATGCATACTGTTCCAGTGCAGTCCAAACCTGTGTGCTGTCTGGAAGCTCCAAACAGTTGTGTCATGGCAACAGGAGGCACAGGGTCCAACATCCCTTCTTCGTTTCACCCGACCATCCCCTTCACCTGTCACCCGGTTTCACCCTCAGCACCTCCGCACCGGTCCAAGCTGCTCTGCTCGTCTCCACTTCCCCTCCTCCCCTGGCCGCCGCAGCACCGGACGCTGCGCGGAGGCATCTGTGCGCGGACGCCCCACGCGTGCGTCGGTGCGCCTCAGAGTGGGATGAAGAAGCGTCAACCACCCACTGATCTGGTGAAGTGTGAGAGATCTTTACCCTATCCTATCCCTACATAAAGGGACAGGTTGAGTAATTTATCATGTGAGACACCTTCTTGTTCTTATGATGTCTGCACCACAATGTCTGATCTTCCTTGGATGGTCAGCTCAATTTCAATTACTGTAAACATCGTTGAATGACACCTTCTGAACCCCAAGCACGCCTGCCTGCCTGCCTGCCTGCCTGCATGCATGCATGCATGCATGCATGCATGCATGCCTTCCTGATCCTTTGGCTCCACACTTGTTTGATGACCACCAACTACTCTCCAAAAGCGAGGTATATAATACTTCCCAGTCACTGCTTCTTCTCCACAGCCCCAGTCTCTCTGGCGCCGCCTGGTCCGCGGCGTGAACCGCTGCGTCAGCCGTGTGAACAGCCGTGAACCGCCCCGGAGTTCAAACATGTGGAGATTGTGATAGGTTTCGTAAAAAAACTAAAACGAACCCTTCATGGCAACTCTTCGTCCATGAGATATATGAGGTTCTTGCAAACACTGAACTGGGAAGTATGAGGTGAAATGACCAACTCTTGCTCTTTTGTTTCAGTTGCCAGTGGATGAATGCAAGTGCAGAACCGCCAAAATTCCAGAACGCAGCGCCTGGCAAAGATTTGAGGATCCGCAGCTGTTCCGCGAGCCACTCACCCTGGTCCTCCAGCACAGACAGATCGGCTCCTGCGAAGATTGAGTTGTCGTGTGTGGCTCTCCAGTATGATCGGTATGATTTTCAATGTCCGTCAATTCAGTCGGAGGTTGATCATGGTTACGCAACAATCCCTGCACGAAGGCTCCAATCCACGCGATGAGGCCGAATGAGGCCGAAGGCTCCAACCCTGAGGCTCCAAGACCGGGCGGCTTGGTGCCGGAATGTATGTTTGGTGAATGTTCAAGCAACCCACGGGACCCACGAGCTGCGCACCTCAAGTACACCTAGCATTCTGTGCTCCCCGCACCCTGGCGCCATCCTTGAAGGCCACCAGCTTGGTCGCCCTGAAGGCTCTCGCAGTGGAGTCCTTGACGCTCCAACACTGTGCCACACAGGCCATGAAGCTGAAGCCCCTCTTCGTTGACCTCGCTCGCGGCAGCGAGGCAGCGAGACACCCCCGCTCCGCTCGCTCTTCGGTCGATGGGACGGACGGAGAAAGCAGTCTGAGGTGTCCCTGTTCGGTCATGGGCCGTCGGTTTAGAAAAGGTGGTGGATTTTGGGGTACCCATTATACCCCAACCTGCTACGGAATCGTGCCGTCATCGACCCATCAGCTGCCCTCTGGTAGCACGAAACTCTTCCTCAGACCGAGGCTCCATCATCTCCTCATCGTCGACCTCCCTCTGGCAGCTGGGGCAGAAGTCCCGGTGCGAGATCACGAGGTATGGACTTCCCATTGCTGTTTGAGCCGACTGGGGCCAACCGGATCGCACAATTTGGCAATGGTTGGAAGCCGATCGCAAGATCGACCGTATGATTTCCAGACTTGTGCGGGAAAAGGAAGCTCAAAGCGATTTGAAGATAGACATTATGTAAAAACTCTAGAACGGCACCCATCATATATATATATATAAATAATTACAAATATATAATCTGAATCTGAAGTGATTGCATTGCTGGAGTTGGCCGGCACACCACAGCACACCGTCCATGTTTGACGTTTCCAATCGCCGACCTCGCCCTCCAGTTCAATGACTTGCTCTGCCATTTCAGGCTCCTCACAGGAAATGACCATGGCTCAAAAAATCAGACTCACAAAACTACAGGTGTTCGTGCGGTGCCCACACCCCCAAATGATTTGAATCTCTTCGCAGGACCCAATGAAATCCCCCCTATCTGAGTTTGCTGAAGATCTCTGGAAACAAGGTTTGCTCAACTGGATTGGAGTGTCCGAGTGCCCCTCCTCGGCCAGCTTCTGTGCCCACTTGGGCGAGTGAAGCGCCAGGAAGGGCCACGGAAGCTCGAAGGGCTCACCGCCTTAGGGTGCAGTGAAAAAGCCAACGGACACCCAGACAGATTCGTTTCAGACTCGTGGCAGAGTTGGCGTCACTCCCAAGAAGCAAAAATCTCTAAACGCCCAAGCGGTGTGGTCCGAGCCAACAAAACAAGCCCTGTTGAAACTCTCAGTCCCTGGTAGAGCGGGACCAACCGGACCGAACCTCTGGAGTGTGACACCTCTTGCGCGCCCACAGCCTGGGGATCCAGGCCCACTTTGAAAGTTAGCAGGCCACGCCGGGCGTTTGCCAGAAGCGACTTTGCACCTGCAAAGTCGCTTAGTATTTTGAGGGCAAGAAATGTTCTCCAACACATGGATCTCGTTTAGCCATGTACTGTAGTTATGTAGTTGATTTATCCTGAAGCCATCCAGGTAGTTCTATAGTTCCTGAAGGCCCTCTCCTGATCTTCCCTTCTGCACGAACTCGTGGAAGGAGTTTCAGGTGAACGATTCATCGCCAATGTCCAAACCTATAGTTCTGCTGGTTTGGGATGGTCAATGTCGATCAGGTGACACTGATCGACATGGTCCACCATGCTGTTTTGCCGTGCATCGCAAGCCACCGCCTCCTCTCGGCATGGCCACTGAGCGCTGCCAGCGAAAAGGCCCAGGCGCAGTAGAGTCACGATGGATATCGATAGATGTGGTGGTTTTGAAGTCGGTGGAGAAAAGTCGACCCAACTACAGTAGATCTAACTTGGGCTGGTCCATTTTGGCTTTCTTTATATGTGTTTGTGTCACGCTGCAATGAGAAGTCGTCGTGTATGTATTCTCCACAAATCTTCTACACTCCAAGCGCATTGCAGAATTGGTGCCACCGATTCGTTTGATTCACTCCACATCCCAGAATCAGATTCTCAGCAAGTTAGGACAAAAGCATTATTGGTAGCAACTGGTCTGTGAATCTAGTTGTGCATCTCCTTCGAGCCCAAACCATACTACCATCCATGGATTCCGCAAAGTTCAGCAGTAGCGATGAGGCATCCTCCTTTGCCAACATTTTTTCTAGCCCAAGAATTTTGAAGCCAGTCGGCTTCCCACATCAACAACCTTCTCCCACACAAAGCCCTGACGTCCTGACATATCCAGTGAAGAACATTCTACCTAGCAAGCCATGCTCCCATCTCAGCATCCTCAAACATGGCTGAACTGGCTAAACTTTAGGAGCACATGGCTGAGAGCCCTGACAGAAGTTCAGCTTTGCGCCATGCAGAGCTCGGCTTGAAAACATTGAATCACCCCCTACTCTCCTCACAAGCACCTCGAATCAATCTATATACTGTACTCATCTTGGTCGTGGTGTAGGTCCACAGGGAAGGAGTTGAAATAACGAGGTAGCTAGGCAGAGGGCCATGACAACGCAACATGACCAACATCTTATCTTGTGGCCCGTCTCACCGATTGGGTAGCGGTAGATGTGCATTGAACTCACCACTCACATGCTAGTGAAATGCTCATATTATCCATGTCTCATGTCTCTGTCGGTGTGAAGAGGGGCGCCGGCAGATACAGCTTGTTTGTTGAACCATTTCATTGAAACATGCCCTACATGCCCTACGACAAGAAGGACCAGAAAAGCTCCCTAGCAAACGGATTTCCTTCTGGGCACTTGCCAAAAGACCCGACAACATGGAGCTTTGGAGGGCCGCAATGATGTCAATCAGTTGCACCCACCGACACAAAAGCAAAGCCTACCCACCATGGATCTGGCATATGGATAGAAATCTCCGACATGGGGAATCTCCAACCAATGGATGGCACCTTTGACTGGGATGTTTGTAGGGTTTCTTCTCCATCATGAAAGATGCTATGGTTAAAAAAATGGATAGTCTTCCGCATGTTAACTTTGGTTGCAATGGCCAGCAAGAAGCTTGAAGAAAGAAAGGAAGCAAACAAGCTCATGGAGTTTCCATGGCCACCTATCCAGGGTACATTCAGGCGATTTGCTAACACAAGGTAAGTCAAGAGGTCTGCAAGAGTCATCTGCGGTTTGATGCACTTAACCAACGAAATCCGCTACTTGCACGAACTCCAAGATTTGCGTGAAGCTTTAATACGATCTTCAAGTTTATAGATGAAGTGGAGGAAAACTCAATCCTTGCCAAGTCTCTTTTTGGGGGGAAACACTTCCCTTCTCCCAACTTCTCTCAAAACAACAAGGGCTCACGTCCTTGCGAAGCTGCTCCGAGCTGGTCCACTCATCCTGCCGGCAATTGGATAGCAGCACCGTTGGGTTTTTCGTCTGGGACATGCATGAAGGTAACGGTCTGTTAAAGCCATCCGACACGAACAATGGGAGAAGGATGATCCCACCATGAGGAGCTGTTTAACCAAGCTTAAGTTCAGCTTGCTCATGTCTGCTGCTGTCAAGAATTGTCACTTTTCGGAAGTGATCACTTCAGCTGCGGAATCCAGGTCTCTATCAAGACACTATCATCCATTTGATCCACAACCAATGTCAAATGGCAGTTTCCTCCTCTGAGCCAGCGAAAGGAGGTACCCTGTACAAAGCTCTCGCACGTGAGATGTGGTACCACCGTCTCTCGTACGGCTCTACACTGGTGTCGTCTTCCGCCCCCATGGGCGAGCTCGGACTTGACATCGAAGCCCGCTCCCCCTCCTCCCTACTTAATTAAGTCATGCAGGTACGGAAGCTAGTAGTAGCTAGGTAGCTACTAGTTTGGACGCAGGATAGCTTGCGCTGATGATTTGGTTCCTTGATTTTTAGGGAAACTTGAGGCTCATGCCAAACAAATTACATACCTGGACCATCCTGAAGAATTTCGATGGATTGCTACGGTCGATCATTGATTTCCGTTGCCCAATTCAGCCCCGGCGGCTCCAGGAACTGCCCGAACCATGTCCAAACCCACTGAAACTGCTTTCCGGAACCCGGAACCCGCTTTATGAGAAGTAAGTAGCCTCCGGGCCCCTTTGTTCCGGCATCGCCTCGGCCTTGTCCGGCGTGAGCTCCGAGCCTAAAGAGAAAAATGGCCATGCTTTGCATGTGTCTTCCTCGCATTTGTTTGATAGTCCTTATATGTCGTTCTTAAGTCCTTATCATTTCTTACTTCTGTTTCATTGTTGTTCGAGATGTTTCTCTCTTTCTTTGTCCAAGCCAACGACGTCCATTTTGTCCGAACGCCCCAGCAGCCCCGATTGGCCCACCTGCGATCCGCGCCCGCACTGATTGGTGGAACCTCTGAACCGCCTCCTTGGTGACAGTTGACCTGCGCCGAGGGACGAGCCAGTAATCTTTAGGGTTCGTTCACCAGATTGACTTCCACCTACTGGGGGAATCCACAACATCCACAACCCTGAGCTTCCAGTTTCAGGAAACTCAGGGGCTGATTACTATCTTGCTCATTCCTGTAGGCACCAAATTGCAATTATGATGAGTTCCTTCTTTTGTGCAGACACTCGAATTCAACAAAACCACAAATCACGGCAAGGCGGTTGATAGAGGAGAATCTCGTTGGAATGGTGAGATTCTGCAGTGGAGTCCTTTTCGGAGACCACCCTCCCTTCAGTAGTGGTCCTCTTCAACTCCCTTTTTGCAGGAATCACAAGTGTCCCATCCTTAATGTTGGATGCTGATTAGTAAATGGGCCCTCTATAATGCTAAATTTTTCCAAAATTATTCCAGACCCCATGTTTGAAAAATGGTTCCTGAATAATGCTAACTTTTTTGGGGGCCCTAAATTTTCAATTTGGAAACCCAATTAATAAGGGTTTGAATTCCTTCTGAGGCCAATGATTATGATTCATTAGCTGATATAGCTTTCTCTAGGTTTCTTCAAAACTGACAGCTGACCAAAACCACCAATTCCCCAATTAAACCCTTTATAAAACATTGCTCCTAAACAAATTTTCAAGGTAGTAGAC